CAGCAGCAGCAGCAGCAGCAGCAGCAAAGGCTCCACGCATCTCTGCGTTGAAGCTTATACGGCACTTGCTGCAGTTGCTGCCGCACACAGCCACAGATACTCTTTTGCTGCTGCTGTCAGAAGCAAACCGTTTAGTGCAGCAGCTGCAGGTGCCTTCGCAGCTGCAGCAGCAGCTACAGCAGCAGCAAGAGCAGCAAGCCAAGGCGCGAAGCTCTTCATCTCGCCGTGCAGGTTTGCGGCCCCGTGCAGCAGCAGCAGCTGCAGCAGCTGCAGCAGAGGCAGACACTACAGCAGAGAACGAGCTGCATGCGTTTGCTGCTGCCCTTGGAGCTTGGATTAATGAAAACTGGCACAGGGCCGGCGCGGCGCTGCAGCAGCTGCTGCTGCCACTTGTTGAGGCTCTGGGGCTGCAGCAGCTGCTGCTGCACACGCTGGAGCGCCGAGCATTCTCTGGGCAGCAGAACGCAAACAAGAATCAGCAGCAGCAGCAGCAGCAGCAGAAGATGGTGCAGCCCGCTGCTGCTCCTGCTGCAATGTCGCGCATGAATGCAGCGAGGCAGCAGCTCCTGCTGCTGCTGCGGTGGAGACGGCGCTTGGGGCTACAGCGGGCTGGAGTGCTGTTTGCTGCTGTTGCGTCTGAGCTGCTGCTGCTTCCCGAAAGTGAAAGAGCAGCAGCAGCAGCAGATCTGCTGCTGGCCTTGAGGCGCCTGCAGCCTGATGAGCGTGAAGCTGCTGCTGCGGCGGCGCTCGAAGCAGCGGAAGCTTGGCGCAGCAGCGGCAGCAGCAGCAGCTTCTCCGCAAGCGGCAGCAGCAGCAGCAGCAGAAGCAGCAGTTCCAGCAGCAGCACCGATGAAAAGGCGAATGTGAGGCCTTCAGCTGTGCTGCTGCAGCGGCTGCTGCAGGACCTCGCTGCTGCTGTCAGACAAGAGCCGCAGCAACAGGGCCAGCAGCAGACGCTCTGGGCTTTGCTGGACCTGAAGACAGCAGCTCGTGCTGCAGCTGCTGCGGGGGACTTGTTGCAGCAGCAGCAGCAGCAGCAGCACAAAGCGGAGCATGCAGCAGAGCTGCTGCAGCCGGCAGTTTCTCGGATACTGCACGACATCAGAGCTGCAGATAAATCCCCTGATGTCTCGGAATCTGCTGCTGCTGCTGCTGCTGCAGCTGCGAACAACTCCTCACATTCAGCGCTGACAGCCGCTGCTGCATGCAAAGCAGATGCGGCGTCTCCTGCAGCACTGGCTGCTGCTGCTGCAGCGCTGCTGCGTCTCAGACATTTGCTGCCTCAGCAGGAGGGAGCAACAGCGACAGCTGCAGCACGGCAGCTGCTGCTGCAACTGTGCAGCAGCGCCTCACTAAGGCAGCAGCAAACGCAGCGAATGGAGCAGCAGCAGGCTGTGGGGCGGGCTAGCTTGACAGCGGCGCTGCTCCGTGCGCTGCTGCAGCTGCTGCAGCGGCAGAGCAGCGCTGCTGCAGCACCAGAGTCCGCGCTTCTGTCTCCCGAAAGCAGTACCATTTTTTCTGCTGCAGCAAAGCTGCTGCACTCAGTGCGACGCTGTCTCCATTTGCTGCCTCAGGGCCCTGCTGTGTCTATAGCGCAGGAAGCAGCTAATGTGGCTTTGCCAGCAGCTGCTGCAGTGGCTGCAGTGAGGCCTGCTGCAGCTGCTGCTGCAGCAGCAGCTGACGAAGCGCAGGAGACTCTGGCTGCTGCTGCAGCATTGCTGCAAACTTGCTGCAGCAGAATGCACCTACCGTCCACTGGAGAAGCAGCTGCTGCTGCTGCTGCGGGACCACTGGGCAAGCTGTCTGCTGCTTTGGAGAGGCTTCGGCCCGTTGCAGCAGCAGCAGCAGCAGCAGATATCTCAGCACTGGCCCGCCCCTTGGAAGACATTGATGCAGCGCGCAGCTCCTTAGCTGCTGCCACTGAGGCGCTGGCGCGGAGTCCCGCTGGCGCCGAAGCAGCAGCAGCAGCAGCAGCAGCTGCTGCTTCTGCCGCGGTTGCTGTTTCTTGTCCAGAAGAAGCAGACACGCGCGGTGACTTCATGCCACCCGGTGCTGCTGCTGCTGCTTGTGCTGCTGCTTCTGCTGCTGTTTCTGCGCAAGCGAAAACTCTGTGGACAGCAGCAACGCATGCGTTGCTGCAGCAGGCAGCTCCATTGGCAGCAGCAGACTTGCTGCAGTGGTCGGGTGCTGCTGCGTCTGGCAGCAGCACAGGTTTGCTGCAGCAGCGCTTCGAAGTTGCCGGAAGAGCTTCAGCTGCAACAGCTTCATCTGCAGCAGCAACAGGGAAGCCAGAGGAGACTGCTGCTGCTGCTGCTGCTTGGCTAAGGCTGCAGCGAGCGCTGCGGCTGTGGGAGAGCAAGTCAGCTCCTCGAATTGCTGCAGCAGCCAGCCTCATTAGCAGCACTCGCTTTGCTGCCGCTGCTGCAGCAAAAGTGGCAGGCAAGACGGGGACTGAAGCTGCGTCTGCAGAGCCGCCAGCAGCAGCAGCACCAGCAGCAGCAGCAGCAGCAGCAGTAACAGCGAAAGCGACTGGGGGCTTCAGGAAGTCGCTTAGCAATGAGGTTGTGCTACTGTGGCTAGCTGCGGAGCTCCTAGCAGCAGAAACGGAGCAGCAACAGCAGCAGCAGCAGCAGCAGCAGGGCGTCCAACAACTAGACACTGAGCTAGCTTCCAGTCGCATGCAGCTGCTGCGGGGCCTTCTATCGGCGGCGCGTGCTGCAGCACCAAAGTGAGCAGCAAAGGCAGCAGCAGTCGGTGCTGCATAAGTTGCTGCTGCGTCTGGCTGCAGCAGCTGCTGCTACTGCAGCGGCTGCAACAGATGGCAGTGCTGCGCCAGCCCTGCTTTGTTTTTGGTGCTGCTGTTTTGTGGCTGCTGCAGCAAGAGAACAGCAGCTGCTAGTGTCGGGCACCGGCTGTCGCTGCTGCTGCTGCTTCTAACAGCAGCAAATCGTCTTGGCGCATTTGACGCACTGCATTGGCAGTCGCTGCAGCAGCAGCAGCAGCAGCAGCAGCAATACTCAGCAATAGAGGAAGAGGCGCGGCTCCAGCGAGATTTGTTTCAGGTATTTCTTTGAGTTAGGAGCGTGTGTTTGCTGCTGCTGCGCTGCGGTTGCTGCGCAGCAGCTGCTGCATGACTGCTGCTGCCAGCACAAGGCATGGAGCTGCTGCTGCTGCTGCTGCTGCTCTCGGGTTTTCTGTACAGGTGCTGCTACCTTCTCTATCTGAGGGCTTTGGCTTGCTGGCATCTACAGAGCAGCCCAGCGACGCAGCAGCAGCAGCAGCAGCAGCAGCGGCAGCAGCGCAAACCTTGCATTTGCTGCGGCAGGCCCGCGCTACACACGAGCCGCTGCTGCTGCAGTTAGCAGCAACAATTGACAGAGCAACAGCAGCAGCAGGTGCAGCAGCACCTACAGCGCTGCAGCCAGATTCTAGGGCTGCCCTAGAAAGAGCTTTGCTGCTGCTGTCTGATGCTGCATGCAACCAGGAGAGGGGTCGGGGCCTCACCGCAGTAGCTGCTGCTGCGCTGCGCCTTGCTGCAGTGCTGCAGCAGCAGCAGCAGCCGCTGCCGCATATACTCCGTGTGCTGCGCCTCGCCCTCACGGCAGCTTTTGGCCCAAACTCTCCAGCGCAGGAGCAACAGCTGCAACAGCAGCAGCAGCAAGAGGTGCAGCAGCAGCAGCAAGTTCAGGTTCGAGGGTGGGACTCAGAGGCTGATGCCGCCTACCGAGAACTGCTGCAGCAGGCAGCTGCAGCAGCAGAGCCCATGCTGCAGCAGCTGCATGCAGCAGCAGCACGCGCTGCAGCAGATGCCCTCGGGACGGAGCTGCGGCGGCTGCAAGGGCGTGGGCTGTCGGTGCTCGGTGTGCTGGACTGCCTTAACAAGGTAATTTTGCTGCTGCTGCTGCTGCTGCTTCCGCTACTGCTGCTGCTGCTGCTGCTTCTGCTACTGCTTTTGCTGCTGCACACCGGCACGTCAGCATGCATGGGTTTCTTGTCTGCGGCTTTTGCAGCTCCGTTTGGTGCACTGCAGCAGCCCGAGCATGCCAACGGAGCAGCAGCAGCAGCAGCAGCAGGGCCTGCTGCACCGTGCTGCTGCTGCTGCTGCCGCATCGTGCTGCAGCAAACTAGCTGCTGCGGGAGACTGGCGTTTGCTGCTGAGCCAAGCGTCTGCTCTCTTGGGAAACGCGAGCCACCAGCTGTCTCCTTTGCACCAAGTCCGTCTGCTGCTGCTGCTCTTGCTGCAGCAAGCTGCAGCAAGCTGCTGCAGCCGTTGCAGCTGTTGCAGCTGCAGCTGTGACTGCTGGCTGCTGCAGCACCAACTCTAGCTGCAGTTGTAGTTGCTGCTGGAGCCGCATGTGGCGGTTGCTGCTGCAGTTGCTGCTGCTGCAGTTGCTGCTGCTGCGTCGAATGGTGTGTCTGCTGCTGCAGGAGGTTAGCCGCACACTAACGGCCCTAAAGCTTCCCCATGCAAACGAAGTCTGGACAGCAGAGGGCTTGCTGCTGGATTTGCTGCTGCAGCGGCAAGTCCAGCAGCAGCAGCAGCAGGGACAAGAGGTGGCGGTAGAAGCAGACGGTCCTGTGCACTTCGTCTGGCGCTGCCCGGCAGCACCTACGCAGCGGGCGAAGCCGCAGCAGCAGCAGCAGCAACAGCAGCAGCAGCAGCAGCAGCAATATGGGTTGACAGCCCTAACAGCACTTAAGAGGGATTTGCTGCTGCACTGCAGCATTCCGTTCGTTACAGTAGACACCTGGCGCTGGGCAGCGCTGGACGATGGAAGGGAGAAGCAGCAGTTCGTGCTGCAGCTGCTGCAGCAGCAGCAGCTGCAGCAGCGGCAGCTGCAGCAGCAGCAAGCGCAGGCTACGCAGTCGCTTGAGTAGCTGCTGCTTGCTGCTTCCGCAGCAGCAGCAGCTGCTGTTGCTCCTGCAGCAGCTGCTGCAAACTACCAAAAACTAATAAGATTTTAGAGGGTAGCTTCCGCTGCAGCTGCTGCGGCGAGTCACTACCTCAAAAAGAGAGCAGCAGCAACAGCAGCAGCAGCAGCAGCTGCTGCTGCTGCTGCTTTAGATTTAGATAGCGCCAAATCTACTTGCAGAAGCCTCTCTGAAAATGTAGAGCAGCAGCGCCGTTTCAATCCTTTGCAGCGGCAGCATCAGCAGCTGCTGCTGCTGTTGCTGCTGCTGCCATTTTTGCTGCTGCTGCTGCTGCGTCTGCCTTTTCTTTTCGCGTGGGAAGTCTTCGGGTGACTTTAAGCTGCTGCTTCATCAGCCGCTCCTGCTGCTCCCATTCTTCCTGTTCCTGCAGCTGCTGCTGCAGCTGTTCCTGCAGCTGCTGCAGCTGCTGCTGCATCTCGGGGCTCATCTGCTGGCGCAGCTGCTGCTGCAGCTGCGTCGCCTCCTGGAGGAACGCTTCCTGCTGCTGCTGCTGCAGCAGCTGCTGCTGCTGCCGCTGCTGCTGCGTCCCCGTGTTGCCTCCTCTTTCAGCTCTTATTGTCAGCAGCTGCCGCAGCAAACGTCTTGCATGCACCAGCTGGTGCTGCTTCGCCAGCCCCGCCCGCCGCAGCAGCCGCAGGTGCCCC